TATTATTATTATTATTATTATTATTATTATTATTATTATTATTATTATTATTATTATTATTATTATTATTATTATTATTATTATTATTATTATTATTATTATTATTATTATTATATTCTATATCTCCACAATATAATCGAAAACATTGATCCACTCTCACTGAATATAACACAAAATAACTTACTTTTTTAAAAACTAACAAGCTATTGCAAGAAAACCTAACTAACAATATTTATTGTTTTCTGAATAATATATGCTAATATCACTCTGTAAATTATAAATTACTGTAACGTTTGTTTATTTAGAATACTTTATTTACAATTTATTTGTAACGTACTTATTAATTTATATAGTACTTAGGCACTATTATAACTGACAATTATTCTAATTTATTTAATACAATTTATGTTTTCTATCCAACACTTAAATTGAATCCTTATGTACATCGACAACTCACGCTATTTATATAAAACCAGCTCTGTATCAGAATACTTTAAGCGACCTAGGTATAGTCTATAAATTTACTGCATTTTCTCATTCAGTCCATTCGTTCGCTCTGGCATCTGTTTCGACTGTTTAAATTACTTAGTCCATGACATCTTTTCGTCAAAAGTTTAACACGAGCAGAGTTTACAGCTTCTTTCAATTTCAACTTTGACTCCACATTATGGCACTTTTATTTCACCGACCTTAACTGGTTCTGAATGTTCCAGTTCTATCTTATTTTTCATTTTTTTTTATTTTCTCCTCAACTTGTTTTCCACATCAAAAGAGATTTAATTTTTTAGAGAAGACACTTTGTTTTCCAAGTCGGAAGCAATTTCTTCTTTTAAAGAATTCATATCAGAAGACACATTTTCTTCTAAGGAAGCTTTACTATCTAAGGCAGAAATGTCTAAAGAAAATTTACTTTCTAATGAAGTAATGTCAGAGGAAACTTTAGTTTCTAAAGAGGAAATATCGTTTTATAAAGAGGAAACATCTGAAAAACTTTAGTTTCCATTGAAGAAATATCAGAAGAAACTTTATTTTCTACGGATGATATCTTACTTTTCATAGAACAAATTACAGAGGACACAGCATCCGAAAATAGAAATGTTTTCAGATCCAAACCTTCGTTTTCCATTGCTTCTTTAAGCCTCTAAGCCAACTCTGCTTTCTTCCTTGTCGCCTCCAGATTACGATCCTCTAATTATCGACGCAATTCAGCCATTTTTAAATAACACAGTTTTTTAGCCATTTTGGTCCACTATTTATTTACAATCCCAATGTAACCAATGTTACGTTTGTTGAATTTATTTGTTTTATTTTTTTTTTAAACTTTATTTTGATTTATTTATAACGTACTTATTAATTTATTTATTACTTAGGCACTATTATAACTCACAATTATAATCTATTTATTACAATTTATCTTTTCTATGCAACAATTAAATTGAATATTTACGTCTGACGACAACTCGCGCTATTTATATATGTACCAGAACATTCTAGGCGACCTAGAATATTCGAAAACTTCCTCTTTACGCAAATCGATCACTCTGGCAGATTTGAGAAGCAGTACGTTTGTCTCGATATGGCCAGTGCTAGACTTCCTGTCGCGGTACGGTAATAAACAAAGCACAGGGTTGGATTTGCGCGACATTACTAAATGTACAAACGAAATATTGGTTGAACATTGATAATTTATTTTTTTATATATTTGAAATAACTATAAACTTGTATTTATTCAAATAAATCAAATGACATAACATGCCAATTTTTTTACAATTTTCCAAATATTCTTTTCATAAAATCTTTAACTGGACGTACCGTAAAATCCTTTTTTATTATTTGTACATATTTTACTTTATAACCTAATTTTTATTTTCTCTATTTTTGGCCTAAAAAAAATGTATATATTTTATTGTATTTTAAAATATCATTTTAGCCTTTTTTTAAAATTTTTATTGTACAAAATTTTTTATTTCAAACAGGAAAATAACATTGAGAAACCTAAATAATCTCAAAAATGTTTTATACCATTAACAAGAAAAATTAAATAATATATTTTCTCTTTCATTAACAAAAAAAACTTTAAAATGTTCTGTAACATTAATAAGGAAACTTAAATAATATTCTTATTTGGCACTTTCACTAATGGTTTAAGATTCGAAATAAGGTCGACCTTCACCCATGTGTTTAACGGATGAAAGTTTATTTATTTAATAAAATATGGTTATAAAAATTATTTCTATACTTTTCTTATCTGTATACAGAAAGGGAAGTAAAAAATGGCCGTGACCGTATTTTCTTAAGCAACCCATTTGCGGTATATTTAGTAACATATTTTATTTAATAGAATAAAACTTTCATCCATTAAACAGATGGGTGAAGGTCTTCCTTACTTACGGATTATGTACTATGACAAAAATTTAAATAGTCTGTAACATTAATAAGAGCACTTAATTAATATTCTTTTTTGACACTATAAATTACTAAATCGCAAAATATTCTCCGGAAAATGTGTTGAATTATAGAGCATTGATTGTGGACTGTAATTATTTAGAACTCTTTATTGTAAGCATAACTAGAACATGAATCTCTTTATTGTAAGCATAACTAGAACATGAATATAAAAAGTGACTGACAAGCGTGTTTCCAAATTATATTAAATATTTTAAGTATCACTTCAAATACTCCGACAGACGTAGACCTGCCTCCGGCCTTGAAGGAATCCTCTTTCAACATGGGAATAGGGCAAATTCTGGGAAGCTTCTTTTGATTAGACCATCTACTGTTCATATTCTAGCTACTCTTGGTATTTTATCACTTTCATGATGTAGTTTCTCGATTCTACCAAGTGGCCATTGAGTTGGAAAGGTTTTATCCTCTTTGATGAGCACCATCGTTCCCTCCTGAAGAAGGTCGGAGTTGTCCTTCCATTTCGTTCGGTTCTGTAAACAGGAAACATACTCCTTTGACCATCGATTCCAAAAATGCTGAAAAAGCCGCTGGACCAATTGAAATCTAGCCAGGCGATTGAGAGAGATATCGGTGACATCTTCATCCGATGCAGCCGTTAGCGGTTTATCAATAAGGAAGTGGCCAGGCGAGAGTGGATTTAGGTCGTTAGAATCAATGGTTAGAGGGGATATAGGACGGGAATTAGGCATCGCTTTAATTTGACATAGCACAGATGATAATTCCTCGTAAGTTAAATATGCATTATAAATAACTCGCTTTAAATGGTGCTTGGTACTTTTTACACCGGCCTTCCACAGACCTCCAAAATGCGGAGAATATGCGGGTATAAACTCCCATTCTATTGCCTGCATTGCGAAAAAAAATTGTACTTTATTTTGGTTGGATTTCAAGAACACATTGAGTTTCTTCTTTGCTCCAACAAATGTTGCACCATTATCGGAAAAAATCTTGTTAGGTTTACCTCTCCTAGAGATAAACCTCCTCAGAGATAGTATAAATGATTGGGAGGTTAAATCTAAACTAACTCCAAACTCCAAAGCATATAAATAATGCTATATATGCCTTTATAGGGTGAGAACCGCGACCTTTTTTTTTTTCCTTTTTAAAAACAGCACCAGCATAATCAACACCTACCACAGAAAATGGGCTAGAAGCAACGACACTTTTAGAAGGTAAATTACCCATTATCGGTTTAAAATGAAAACACCTCAAGCAATTGTGAACTACAGACCTTGCTAGATTACGCCCATTTATTGACCAATAAGTGTCTTTCTCTTATATTGTATAGAAGTGATTGGGGTCCTGGATGGAGCAATTCATCATGCTTAAATTGAAATAATAGCTTTGTAAAATGATGTTTAGAGTCTAGTAATATTGGATGTTTTTTATTGAAGGGATAGTAAGAATGTTTCAATCGCCCTCCTACCCTAAGTATAGACTCATTATCTAGAAAAATATTTATACCTATAAATTACCCTTTGAGTTTATGAGGCTCATTAGTCTTAAGTGCTAAAATTTCACAAGGAAATGATTGAGCTTGAACGATTTTAATGATTGTTGTTAAATAATGATTTAATTATTGTGCTGTTAGACAACCTTTTAATTGATTGCCTTTATTAAGACAATTATGTTTAAGTCTTAATATATATGCTACAGCTCTGAGCAAATGAAAATACTTGGAAAATTCATTAAATGGAAAATCATATTTTATTAGACATAAAAAAATGTTAGATTTTAGTTCAGGCACCTCGTCTGGATTGTTTGAATTATTTGGATAGTTAATTTCATTTGATGCTAACCACTTAGGGCCGAACCAATAAATGTCCAAGTAATGGAGTTGACTAGGATATACTCCTCTGGACACCATGTCGGCGGGATTTTCATGAGTTGCGACATGCCTCCATTCAAAGTTTTTTGTTAAAATTTGTATTTTGGAAACTCTGTTGGCGACAAATGTCCTTAAATTACCAGGACTTATTTTTATCCATGCAAGAACTATTGTAGAATCGCAAGTCAATCGGATCTTTTTTCTAGAGTTATCGTGCCGACACACATACGCACACATAACCAGACGAATTTTTTTTTGCATTTTCGCAATCATAGTTATCGGAAAAGTGAAAAAAGTCTTAAAAAGTATTACAATTATTATTAAAAAACAAATAAATGTATTTTAGACAATTTTTTTTGTTCTCTTAACAAAAAGTGTTATGTTACTTTAAAAAAAAAATATATTATTAAACAGTTCTTTGTTATTTTCTTTTTTATTTTTGTAATTATATTTTTGTTATGACAAAATCTATTTTGTCAATTTTTACTAGTAAATAATTATAATTTTCCAAATAAATCTCGAACAATCTAATTTTGAAAACAACAGATAGTGAGTTTTTTTTGCAAATCAATTTCAAATTAATGAGGCAAGCGACTACACGATATTCTGACTTTTGACTTTTGAAAGAAAATTGTTGCCATTAAGATATTTGTCATGAAGATATTTTCGTAGATAAAAACCGAGATTGAATCTTGAATCTGCGCATATATTGTAAAATTATAAGTTCTGGCACCATACGTCGGTGCGTGAAACTGGAACAAAACTGCGAGTTATGTGCTAATTATTGTGAGAGTTCTAATTAATTATAATTTAAGTTATATAGGAAGGTAAATATTTTGAAAATAACGTCTTCCTGTTTTCCTTTTGATGTATATACTCAATTTTAAATAAAAAATACTAAATTCTGTTTTGCAACAATACTTGGTTTTTTATATTTTAGAAGATGATAGGTAACTAAGTATATTTAGTTCCAAATTTTAATTATTTTAATGCAAATAATCTTTAAACAGTAAATTGTTATTGTTCTTTTTTATTATTTCTCATAACCTTCTGCCTTTCATGCATCGGACTCAGTTCTTCTCTAGGATACATTTCTATAATTTTTTATTTTCATAGCTCATGTGTTCGTTTCTATTAAAGTTTTTTTTTTATCAATTCCCATCTCTTTAATCTGATCGATCAATTTTCTCCTTCCTGCCTTCCTTGTTGCCTTTTTTTTTTTGATGTTTCAATTTCTATTAGATTTCTGATACCCTAATTAATAATTTTTGTATCTCTGTCAATATCTGTCCTAGTATTGTTTTATTTAGAAAGTAGTATATTCTGGATGATTTATTTGTCTTGTTTGTAAGTTCTGCATCTGTTCTTCCTTCCTCTTTCTAGTGTTTCATGTTTTTATTATTACTATCATCTCTGTTTTTCATCTACTATTGCCACTTTGGTTTTAACTTTATTTACTTCTATTCTCATGTTTTCTGTTTCTCTTGTTCATAGGTTTAATATTTTTTTTATTATTTTTTATTATTTATTAAATAATTAAAAATGTATTGTTTATCGGATTTACAAATAGATTACTTATATAATAAAAATTATAAATAGGTTAACGCCTTAAATTTAATGTCACTATAATGTATTCTGTCAATATTCTGAACATTCTAGACATACTTTTTGAAACTTTTATAATATATTATATGAAGTAAAAGGAGCGTTTTAGTTAGAAACTAGACAAATATATGAAAGTTTAGTAAATGGCTAAAAATTTTTTATTGCAAATTTAATTCTGTAAAAACAATATAAATTTCTACAATTTGTTGCTAAAATGCAGATCTTCTAATTAAATTTTTATAATAGAAAATGGTTAGGTAAAACTACAAATTTTAAGATATTCGTAGTTAATAAATTTAAATGGCAATATTAATTTGTTGAAAAAGAGTGTGCCTGTTTTTATCCAAATGTTCCGGTTTTCCTAAACTTTCCTGACGCATTTATTATAGTTATCAAAAAATTTGGAAACATTTTACAATCTACAATTTACTTTCCAAGTCTAGCTTTGTGTGTTAAAAAAACAATTAATTAGGAGATTCGATCCTAGGTATACAAAAAATAGGTTTAATAAAAAAGAAAATTGCATCGATCTATCAAATGTTTATAATTAATATTGTTTTGGAATTAATTTAAATCCAAATTAAAATAAATATTAAAATTTAAATCTATTGCGTATTAGACAGATTCTGTGAAACAATTTTTGTGCCCTCTGCCATTAATCTTAGTCATTAGGTTATGATAAAAAATTAAATAACTTGAATATTGAAAACATTAAAAAAAACTAAATATGAAGAGGCAGAAATATTGCTATTTTGACCTATTTCAATCCTATATATAACGTTTAAACTAGTTTGGATAATTAAATGCTGTTTTTACCAATCTTTTCTCAAGTATCCTGATTTTTTGCTCACTTTCGGTTTAACAAAAACTGACATAGTTTATGTAATTTCAAATGACTTTTTATCTTTTAAAATATTAATGAATGAAATGAAATTAATAAATTACTAAAATTTCTTACGATAAATGGATCTACAAATTCACAATATTGAGATTTTGCAAAATTTTGTCTAGAATCAAACTGCAATATGCATTGTTTTATTACCTTTTACATGTATACAAAGTACTACACCATTCTCTGCATAATATAAGAATAAGTATAGTAAAATTTTTAATTAGGTTTATTTTAATAATTATGTTTATCAATAATTAATGGTAGGTACCTGAAATGTCCTTTAAACCACATAATAAAACATGTCCTGCATTATTTAAAGTAAATAAATATTTCCAGATGTTTATGTAGCAACCAGATAGGTGAAGATTTCCAGCAAATTAGTTAAAAACACTATTATAATGACATTATTATCTAAAATCAGTTAAAAAATCACAAATACAAAATCCCGCCAAAAACAATGTAAATTAACAACCTATCCTTCTTATAGGTGACAAATGACCGGCGCACGAAAATTTATTTGAATCGCGAATAGGCGTTCCTTCCTCAGTCGATTTCAGGGGTTGAAATTCACTCGTTAGGGGGTGAATTAGGGAGAGTATTATTAATAACAATACTGTTTATAAATTTAATTAGAGCGTCATATACAGGGTGTTCGATAAGTATGATACATAACTTCAGGAGCGTATTTTGGAGCTAAAATAACGATATTTTTGTCATATACACTACGTCTCAAAAATGCTTCGTTACGGAAATACAGGGTGTGAAAGTTTCATAAAAAATACATTTTTTTAAATATTTCCAAAACCACTTAAGGTATTTTAACTAAATTTTTGCAGCTTATGAGAATTAGCAACGTTGTGTGTTTTATTGTAAACACAGTGACTTTCGTTTAACCAGTGGCGTGAGAACAAGGTAATAACTGAAAAATATGGAAGGAAAAACGTGTTACGCTGCTGTTCTTTTTCAACATTTAGTTTTTTGATTGTTTGATTTGGAAGAAAAAAAGTCCCTTGACTTTTTTCATGAATAATTACAGAGCCATTTTTATTTTTTTATTATTTAACTACAAATAACAATCATATAAGTAAATAATCACTTATATCAAAGAATCAAAGCAAATGTTGAAAATGGTCCCCTCTGATACAACGCACGATTCCAATCGTCTCCTTATTGATTGTTTTACTCTTTCAAAAACTCCTGGAGTATTTTGATGGTATTACAACCTTGAATTATTTGATTTCTTCAATCATTTTCATTTAATACAGGTGTCTCATACAAGAATGATTTAAGGTGACCCCATAAATAAAAGTCCAAGGGATTAAGACGGGACTGCGAGGTGGTCAAGCTTAAGGACCTCCGCGTCGAATACAACGATTAGGAAAAGTGTTATCGAGGTATTGGCGAGCAAGAAGGCTAAAATAGGCTGGTGCACCATCGTGCATAAACCATAAATCTCCTCTTACCTGCAGAGGCACTTCTTCTAACAGACCATTCAGTTCTTCTTGTAAAAACTGAGTATACGAATCACGATTCAGTCGTGAGGGTAAAAAGTATGGTCCAATAAGATGGTCGTCAATAATCTCTATCCATACATTTAGTGAAAATGTTTGCTGAAAGCGACCATCTCTTATTGCATGAAGATTCTCCTCAGTCCATAAATGTTCATTATGAAAATTAATAATTGCTTCTCGCGAAAAAGTTGCCTCATCAGTAAATAAAATTAGGGTCAAAAAATTGTAGAGATGAGCAACTTTATGGAGTAACCCCTAGTAAAATTTAGCCTTGGCTGAAAGTCGCGGGGCAGCAGAGCTTGTACTCGTTGTATGTGGTATGGGTAAAGCAGAGAAACTTTCAAAACTCTTTAAACAGTATTTGCACTTACGAGATATTCGTAATCCGATACTTCTGTATCTTAGTAGTGTTAACATAAACACAGACTGTAACTGTTTCAGAAGACAAATATTTCGTGCTTTTGAAAACCGAATGTTTCGTAAAATAAAACTTATTAAATTTGTATAGAAAATAAAATCATTCTTACAGTGTACTTGAAGCTGTTGTGCAATCTTCCTGATACTAGTTGAAGGATTTTCTTCTCCTGTAGTATAGATTCAGCTAGCCCAGGCGTTGTTAAAAAAAAAAAAAAGTCGCCATACATTATCGTCTCGATGATGATGGGTGAGGTTTTCCGGGTTTTCCTCATCTGTAAGTTAAATGTCACCATCAATCACCTTTAAGTCGCCCCGGAGCGCCACGGCAAATATTAATAATAGCCGTCCCTTTCCCCGGACAAGCTCAGCTTTTGGGGTTAAAATTCAGTCGTAAGGGGGTGAATTAGGGAGAGTATTATTATTATTATTAATATTGTTCGTGGTCTACCAGAAACTACCCGATTATGCTCAAAACTACCGGTTTCACTCAATCTGGCATGTATCTTTCTAAATGTTTTAACACATGGCGTTACCCTCTTCGGATAACGTTGCTGATAAATTTTTCTAGCTTCCGCTGAATTCCCATTTGCTACGCCATAAATGAAGTGCATTTGAGCCATTTCAGCGGTAGTAAAGTTATTCATTTTAATGTCCGACATACAAATAAATAAACAATGGGCGACTAGTAAAAAGTCAAACAAGTACTTGGGAAAAATTTGAGATAACTTTTTTGTTGTACATTGTTCAAAGAGATAAAAAAAATAAAAAAGAATAAAAAAAATTACTGTATTTGTGGCTTTTCCTTCCAAACCGAACACTAAAAACAGAACAGTGGCGTAACCAGTTTTTCCTTTCATATTCTTCAGCGATTAGTTTGATTAAAATATCTTAAGTGGAAATATTTAAAAAGTTGTATTTTTTTTTTTAAACTTTCACGCCGTGACTTATATTTGAACAATGTGTTGCTGTTTTGCCAATTGGTCTGCTCTCTAGTTACCAACTATTCAAACTAATACCACTAAATTATTGTTGCTGCAACTCGTATAATAGACAAAACCTGATTTTTAATAGCTTCAAGAGCAGATTTAGAGTAACACATTATTATATAATAAAATCATGTATTTTGTTAATAAAAAAAAAAATATTTAAGGAGGTCCTTTCGCCAACACTTTCGCCACCAATGTTAAATAAAAAATATTAGATTATGACTAAAATTAATTTTTTTTTCTAATAGTTGAAGTCCTTATTTATCTAATAGTGAACTTTTAACTATACCTTACCGTGCAAATTTTTGAGAATTTTTTTTTTAAATGTGAGTATTTGTACAGTGTCTTACGAGAAAGTAAGACTTCAACAACAATTCTCGAATTATACTATTATTTATTGATTAGATGGAGTAGAAAAAAACTAAAAATAAGGTTTTTTAAATATTTAGGTTTTGTTTTTTACAATAAAATATATAGGTTACCGTGGAATTTATTGAGAAATTAATATTAAAAAAAAGTTCAAGTGACCTAGTTGAAATTTTTTTGTGATTTTTAATGTTAATTTCTCAATAAATTCCACGGTAACCTATACATTTTGTTGTAAAAAACAAAACCTAAATATTTAAAAAACCTTATTTTTAGTTTTTTTCTACTCCATCTAATCAATAAATAATAGTATACCTCATTATAATTCGAAAATTGTTGTTGAAGTCTTACTTTCTCGTAAGACACTGTACAAATACTCACATTTTTTTAATTTTTTTTTCTTCAAAACTTTGCACAGTAAGGTGTATTTAAAAGTTCACTATAAGATAAATAAGGACTTCAACTATTAGAAAAAAAATAATTTTAGTCATAATCTAATATTTTTTATTTAACATTGGTGGCGAAAGGACCTCCTTAATTTAATTTTAACCCGTTTGAGTTAACCTATTAGTGAACAAAAACAGAGTATGTGTGTGAAAAATTAACACCGTAAGTTTTAAGTGTAATTCATTTATTAGACTTAAAGGACCGTTATTGAGTAGGATCTTAGTTTTAAAAGTTTTAATTAAGTTAGAATTAAATTACCCATTAACAATAATATTACTCTCTCCCTTATTCACCCCCTTTTGAATGAATATCAACCCCTAAAGCCAACAGAGGTACTTGTGTAGGGGAAGGGATGGCTATTACTATTATTTGCCGAGGCGCTCCGGGGCGACTTAAAGATGATTGATGGCGCCATTTGACTTACAAGTGAGCAAAACCCGGAAAACCTCACCCACCATCATAAAAACCTCATCCATCATAAACGTTTTGTTGATCAGATTGTAATCAGTAAAATACCCCTAATGGGATATTGTGTTGAAAAATAAAATGCAAATTTAATTGCTAACAATTCAGCGGAAAATATTGTATAAAAATCAGGAACTTTATACTGGTAGGTATTGTTGGTCCTTGAGAGGTATATTGCAAAACTCGTACCGTTAATAGATTAGTTTTAGAACCATCTGTATAAACTAGGATATAGTTTAAAAACTTCGAAAGTATACTTTATTAAGGTATTCTTCATAGGCACTATTAAGCAATGGAACTTCACTATAGATATTATTTTGCTTATGTTTTATTTTCAAGACCTTGAAAAGATGCCCTTAGAATATCAAAACCAAAATACTGTATGTTATCAAATAAATGAGATACGAGGTTTTGTCAAAATGCCGCATTTTGTTTTTTCGCGATTATTTTAAAAACCAAAAACAATTGAATAAATGTTCTATTAATTTAGAATCCTAAGAAACATTTGGATTTCTACTATGAGGAAAATATAAATACTCACGGGACTAAATATTTTTACAATTTTATTACTTATTGTTTATTAGTTGTATTAGTTTGCAATTTCTGCCTTTTATTATCCCATAATGTAAGATAAAATAAAAAAATGGTATACTTACTTGAAAAAGGTTTTCATTTTTATTATTTCTAACAATTTTAAATACATCTTCGATACATACAATTTCTTGGATTTTACTTTGCATATCAACGTATCTTTTTTTTTGTGTGTCATCAGCTTCAACTGCTAAGGTTATCTCGTCTCGTGTTCTGTGTAGGCTTTGTTACTGTTGCCCAGCGCCACTTTAGGAACAGTACTGTTAATTAGAACCCAGTTCTCTCAATTCTTATCAAAGCCACCCCTGTGACATCGTGAAGGAAGACGATAATATATGATTATACTAGAATAAATTTCCAAGATCCTTCATTCGTTCATCAGTGCTAAGATTTCTAGTACGGTCTGCCGTAAACGTGAAAATTTAACTGGTAAAAGTTTCTTGGGATGTCACTATTTATAATTTTTATTTTATTCATGGTGACTCCATTATGAACAATTTTGAAGATATTTGATAAAAAGTATAACATTTATGTATAATTAAATTAATTTTCAAAAAGTTGTAAAGTTGCTTGCATTACTACAAACATTATGTGCACACTATTATTGACTTTGAAGTTATGCATGCAAAAATACAAAGTGGCGCAAAATAAAGTCCCCTATTTGTTTTTTATATAAAAGTGAGATTAATTAAAAAACAGTCATATTATAAATGAAAAACATTTAATAATGCAATAATGAGCTCTTTTTAAAGCATTTTTCATAACTTTCTCCAACATTTCAGGTGGTATTCTATCAATTTCTTCCCGGATTTTGTCTTTTGATGCTTCTAGTGTTTGAGGATTATTTACAAACACCCTATGTTTGAGATAACCCCATAACCAAAAGTCTGGAACAGTAAAATCGGGAGACCTTGGCGGATATGCAATATCAGCGTTTTTCGAGATAAGGCATCCACGAAAAATTCTGATAATCGACGAATTATTTTGATAAAAAAAATTACGATTTCGGCACGTTCTCGAGGCGTATATCGATTCATAATGAATTTCCCAAGTATCTACTTTGCAACTGACAGAAAAACTCGAACAGATGTCAACTACAACCATAGGGTACTTGATTTTGCGCCACCTTGTATAATCAAACAATTTAAAATAAAGTTTTTAGGAATATAGTAAATACACACCTTGGTACGATTTTAAACAAATTACTATTAACTCGTTTTGGTCCAGTTATAATGTAATAATATGACGAAAACTTTTGAGTGTTTAATTTTAATTCAAATGTAGCTGATTTTTTATCAAAATATTATTAAAAAATATCTTTCATCTGCACTTGAACGTTAAGTATCACGTATTAAAACTACGTACCTAAGAGTAAATATTTTTATCCGGAAATTTACGACGGTTCAAGGATAGGTCATTATTCAACGTTATCCGTGAAAATTTCGTTTACTACTTACTATATTATCTTTTATAAAAATAGTTTTGCGTTGACATTGATTTTTATTTATCACCGTTGGAGCCTTGCACCAATTTTTCAAGTTTATTCGGTCAAGATTTCGGTATTTATTTTTGAAAAAATAAAAAATGTTGCAATCTTTTTTGCATATATACGTATTACATATTATAACAGTAGATAGAAATTTTCCGTTTTCGATTGATTAAACAATTTAAGATAAAAATAGTAAAATACTAATAATTTTATTTATATACTACTTGTGAATTATTAAATTAAATCCGTAATCACTATGAATAGGCTTTTATTAAATGCGTCAAAAGTAGAATATAGGAAGTATAATGATATTTGTAAAATTGAACAAGTTTTAAATCCACTATAGACCTAAAATAATAACGAGTCTTCAAAATTGTCCGATTACAATAAGAAGAACAAAGCTACGTCATCTTTGGGCGACGTAATTCGTTGAATATCGTCGCCTACTGTAGATTTAGTGTCTAGTTAATATTATAGGAATATTGAAATCATTTAATTGATACAAAACAACTTATTTATTAATAGTTATAGATAATATATCGGGTGTTAATGATTACGTGTTACAGACTTTTAGGGCATGTAGAACATTCAAAAATAGAGTGAAAAGTTTATATAAACATATGCTCTTGCAGCTTTGGTTTAGAAGCTAGAGCTCTTTGAAGATGGCGTCTTCAGGTCAATTTTTTTCAAATATTTTCAGAACACCGTCTTTAAAAAATATTAAACTTGGCAGGGTTAGTAAACTTTACTTGGCGATTCTTCTGGTGTTAATTAGATTTTGCTAACACGATCATAAGCGTCTCAATTGGGGAGGGGGGCTACGGATATTTTTAGTATTTTTTTTTTTCTCTGTCACTTTTTGAGATTTTTGGTATTGAATTAAGAAACTTTAAAGTTTTTTCTAAAAAAAAGGTACTCTTGTTTAGAGTCAACCACATGCACCGTTTAAGAGAAAACTCCATTTTAATTTGTCCTGTTTCCTTATTTTAGCTGCCGCATTTATTATTAGAAATGAAAGTAGTCTCTGAGAAATGAACAAAACTATAATTTATTTATGGTTATATATTACAATAAATGTTGGAAATGACGACCACCAACCTCAATACAAGCATTGTATCTTCTAATCATATTTTGGTTAGCCCTTTCCAAAAGACCAGGCATTGTTTAAATCTGCTGTGCTGTAGCTAAAATCCGAGCAATCAATTCCTCTTCTGACTCGACAGGTGTCTCATACACGAGAGTCTTCATATAACCCCACAAAAAAAATCTAATGGTATGAGATCCGGAGAGCGGGGTGGCCACGCCACTGGTGCTCCTCGGCCTATCCGTCTTTCGCCAAATGTTTGGTTGAGGTAACGTCGAACATCGAGGGAATAGTGTGCTGGGGCACCATCGTGTTGAAGCCACATCTCATGACTAATTTGTACTGACACGTCATCTAACAAATCCGGCAACACTTGTTGCAAGAATACCAAATAAATAGGACCAGTTAGGCGATTTGAAAGAAGGTAAGACCAATTAAATATCCATCAATAATACCAGCCCATACATTGGCGCTAAACTTATGTCGAAACTTCGTTGAACGAATATAATGAGGATTTTCTTCGGACCAAACGTGGTTGTTATGTAAATTAATAATACCTTCTCTGGTAAAGGATGCCTCATCTGTAAACAGCACACGCCTTATAAAATGTTGTTCTAATAAACAACGTTGGGTAAACCAACGGCAAAAGTTAATTCGTGATGCAAAATCAGCTGGAGTTAAATGCTGTACCTTTTGTTCGTGATAGGGGTAAAGTAGTTGCTCTCGTAAAACTTGCCAAACACTTACGTGATACACCCAAGGCACGAGTAATAGTTCGAGTGCTAGTGGATGGTTTTTGTGCCACTCTCTGAAGCACTTGTTCTTCAAACCATATGGTTCGGCGATTTCTCTAAACTCCGCAGTTAATCCTATTGATTCTTAATGTTCCTGTATTCTTCGGTCTCTGTAAAAGTCTTGCAAACACTTTATGAGATGGAGCTGGGTGATTTGGATATCGTTCTATGAACAAACGGCGAGCAACTCGGCCTATACAATGAGCTTCGCCATAAATTACTAACATGTTACCATAATCACTTAAAGTATGTTCATTCATTTTATCTCTACACAACAAAAATGTAAATAGATGTAAATGTCAATAATGAAAACTAGAAACAATTTGACAGGTAAATATTCATCAAATTTCACAGCTTATTTTAATTTCTAGTAATTACTAGTAATAAATGCAGGAGCTAAAATAAGGAAACAGGACAAATTGACATAGACTTTTCTCTAAAACGGTGCATCTGGTTGACTCTAAACAAGAGTACCTTTTTTTTAGAAAAAACTATAAAATTTCTTGATTCAATACCAAAAATGTTAAAAAAAGACAGAGAAAAAAAATACTGAAAAAATCCGTAGCCCCCCTCCCCCAAATGAGACGCTTATGATCGTGTTAAAAAAATCCAATTAACACCAGGAGAATCGCCATCTAAAGTTTACTAACCCTGCCAAGTTTAATATTTTTTAAGGGCGGTGTTCTGAAGATATTTGAAAAAAATTGACCTGAAGACGCCATCTTCAAAGAGCTCTAGCTTCGAAACCAAAGCTCCATGAGCACATGTTTATGTGAACTTTTTACTCTAAAAAATCTGTAACACGTATTCATTAACACCCTGTATATTTTAAATTCGAAATAATGGTTATAACGTAGTGGTGTTCATCTTATTGTAATCGGACCACGATCCCACGTGATCAGATAAAGCAAGAAATTTAATTTTTCTGTATAAAAAAAATTCCTTATGGAGTGAGTAATTGTTTAATTCTTACATAACTAAACTAAGGTTGCAATCTTAAAAACTAAAGTTCTACTAGCTAATACTGGGTGTTTCAAAATTGTTGAGACATAAAGCTACCACGTATTGTAGAGGTCAAAGTATTGGAAAAAATATATATATCTTAATGAAACACCCTGTATATGCAATAAAGAAATCGACCTATGCGATGAAACTTTGTTTGGTGATTTTCCTGGTTTAGGGATCATAATGACTTAAGCTAATTTTCATGATCTAGGGACATACCTTAGTTATTTTAAAATCTCTCATGTAATTAAATTAAAGCTTTGGTTTAAAGAACATTTGTTTTTATATTTATTGGAAGATACACTGAACTGTAACCGTTAAAATGGAACGCTATTTCTAATACCGAAAAGTGCGGCGATTTAATTTCGCTGATAACGTCACTGCCGGGTTGATGCTCATGCGCAGTCAATATTTGTCATATCTGAAAAGTTCCTATATTACATTATTGTCAGGTCCGGCTTTTTTATTAAATTCATGTTACAAACTATTTGTCATGAAATGTTTGAATTGGACATTCATCTTGTGTTATGCAAACAAAACTTCTAATATAACTTGTTTAGAATTTTGTTTTAAGGTAAAATATTGAAATTTAGAAAAGAAGTGTTTTTTTATTTCAATAAAGATGAACCTAGTAGCGCGTCCAAAAATGTTTTTATCTTACGACATTATCAATATATATGTGCCATTCAGAAAGTAACTGCAACAGTAATGGTGCAAAAGTGAGCAATCGAAAGATGTAACCCCTATATGTGTCGAAACTATTAAGGCAGGATAGATGGCAAAAACAGTTTTAGAGAGATGACTTTCAGTTCACTCTAAATAATTGAGTGCAGCTATGCTAAGCAGAAGCAAAATATTGTACTCGCAAAAATTGAGTATGAGAAAAATCGATTTGGCAAACAATTTAAGTTTGCCAACTTGATAAAATAAATAAATAATAAAAAATAAAATGATTTTAAATTCGCAATTTGGATAATTTTTTACCTGAATATTGTATTATATAGCTAAATTATCCATAATAATAGAAACTCTTTTTGATTGGATATATTATCTTTTTTTAATTGCCAAAAAATATGTGCAAAATAATGTGGAATGGTTTTAATATGATATAAGAGAAGGACTACTTAGATAAGATATTATATTGTTTGACATAAGAGTTTGAATTTTTCTTATACCTACCTTCAATTCAGTCGAACTTTTAATCTATTTCGGTAAGGTCAAAATAGTTTTCAGTTGTTGACAGCGAGTTTAATTTATCGCCAGGTTGCCAGGAACCTCGCACCAATTTTTCAAGATTAATAGGTCAAGAGTAATAATCATGTAATAATACTAATTTGAGAAAACGAATTTTATACATCCCAATGTTATTATTGTTCTGTTATTTTTAAATATTTATATAATTTTTCTCTTGGGCACTAAACATTAATTGAAAAAAATCACTATATTATTTAACAAATTGTTCCTACACCAAAAATACAAACAAGAAAAAAATGTCCATCAAAAATACATGAATAGAAGATCTATAAAATGATTTGCTCGCCATTTTTTAGTTTTAGAATAACCTTTTCATCCTTATACTTTGTATGAATAATAACCATTAATTTATTAACTCTATTTGAACATTAAGAGATATACAGGGTAGACCACCAGAAACGATTTTTTAAAATCTGTTTTCACAGCGAGATGTATATCAGAAATGGCCACAATTTAAAAATATCTTTAGTTATACACTGTTTTTCAAGAAAGTGATACATACCAAAGTTAGATTTTTTAAATGGGACACCTTGTATTTTATTATATATTTGATTTGCCCTCGCTTTTTCAATTATAACAATACTAAATAGTATGAGATTATATAGAGTATTCCACACGCTAAAACCAGTTTTATATGAAAATCATATTGATTTTAATGATGTGTATACTGCAAAAGAAACACTTGAAAACCCATTTGTTTTTTGCTGGACGTCGTTACATTCTATTGGGAGGGGCAAAATTTTGAAAAAAATTAGAATATTTATTTATTTATTGGAAAACAAAGAAAATGAAAAATAAAAAAGAATTTTTTTATGATGGATTTAATTATTCTGTGACGTCATGGCCGATTTTTCCAGAAATAACAGAAAATCGCAATTTATTTTTTATTTTTAAATGAAAACCCTTTTTCTTATTGAAAATTTGAATTTCTGGGACATTTTTGTATAAGAAGCGTGTATTGAAAATTTTCTGTCACTAACATATTAAAAAAAATATTTTCCAATATGATGATCATTTTGACAGCTGACAGAAAATTTTCAATACATGATTCTTATCTATAAATGTCCCTAAAATTCAAATTTTTAATAAAAACGGGTGTTTCTATTTAAAAATTAAAAATAAATTGAGATTTTCTGTTATTTCCGACAAAAGTAAGTTATGAAGTCACACACGAATTCAATTCAGTATAATAATAATAATAATAATACTCTCCCTAATTCACCCCCTTACGAGTGAATTTCAACCCCTGAAGGCTAATGAACGACTTGTGTAGGGGAAGGGACGACTATTATTATTTGCCGTGGCGCTCCGGGGCGACTTAAGGATAATTGATGGTGCCATTTGACTTACAGGTGAGGAAAACCCGGAAAACCTCACCCACCATCATCGAGACGATAATGTATGGCGATTTTATAATCTGCATGTCATATCAACAGAAATTGAATTTCCATTAATACGGCACACATCAAATCCTAAACCGAACCATGCAATTTAATTAAAAATCCACATGGTCTGGTCTGGGATTCGAAGCCCAGCAGTCTCGGACTCATAAACTATATAAGAGTATTTGTCCCAAGATTTTAAACAAATAATTTTTCATTCGAATATCTCAATTAACAACGAAGATAAAAGCGGATGGAATTATTAAACGGTTTGCTAATAATAAAAATGCTTAAATACGCCACTGGTATACGGTAAATTTGTTTCAATGGGAATTTTAAAGCCTAAGAAGATTTTATAAAGTTCGTACATTCCTATATGTTTTTCTATAAACGAATTAATATTGTTACGCAGGTTTTTGGTATCACAATTTATTTCAGTTCAACTTTACAATAACTCAATTCAACTTTAACAATAACGATATAACTGCTAACATTAACATGTAACGTCTATCATAAAACTGAAACTCTGACGTCAGGTCGTCGACTTATATATCTTGCTTGGCCTTCTCGAACCTTCTCGAAATGTCATCTAAAATGTTCTTTACGGGTAATGATATTTCTGGAATATTCTCTCTTCTTTTACTTGTACTTTTACTTATGACGACCGCAGCACACTGTAGAGCGATGAGTAACATTCCACTTATTCTTCTTCTATCTGTACGTTTCCTATGATAGCCGCAGGATACTACAGGGTGCTGCGTTACATTGCTCCCTCCTCTCTGGTTATTCTCCCCGAATAACTTGATTACTTGGAGCCAACGGAGAGGATCTGAACCACGGTATGGAGCTAACTTTTCAATGTGAACTACCTTGGGTTTGCTTCTCGTTGACAACTGAATGTGGTAGATCAGGTCGTTGATTTTCTTGAGGGCGGTGTAGGGGCCTTCCCAGTTCCGTTGCAGCTTCTGACAAAGTCCTTTTCGGCGCTTGGGATTGTACAGCCATACTGGATCGCCTCTCTCAAAATGTGTCCCTGTGGCATACATGTCGATTCTAGCTTATACTTTATCGCAATTAATTTTTAAACGTTGACGAGTGAATTCGTTTACCTTCTCTAATCTTTCTTTTAAGTTCTGTATATACGTGGGAGGAGTACGCATCTCTACTTCACCAGGAGGCTGCCTTCCAAAAAGAAGATCATGTGGAAGTTTCATCTCCCTTCCGGTGATCATCATGGATGGGGTATAACTGGTCGTTTCATGTTCAGAACTTCGGTAGGCTAGCAGAAATAGAGGAATTAAAGTGTCCCAGTCCTTCTGATTATCAGGGACGAACATTGAAAGATACTGGCATATCGTTCTGTTGTGTCTTTCTACCATTCCGTCGGACTGTGGGTGTAGAGGCGTAGTGCGTGTTTTCCTGATGTCTAATAGTTTCATTAATTCTTGCAATGACGTTCGTCATAAATGCTTCCGCTACTGTCGTTGCTTCCTTATTAGGAATAGGCACTATTTCGGGCCACTACGAAAAATAGTCAATAACCATCAAGTATTTGTTTCCCCTTTCTGTTAAGGGAAGTGGTCCGAGGATATCAATGTTGTTTTGGGCTCTACGAATTTATAGTAGCCTCATTTTGAATTTCCTGAAGCGGACAATTAGCAGAAATTGTTGCTACATCTTCAATATCCGGTGTATTTTTATTAAGAAGTTGACGAGAAACATCGCTAGCAGAAGGTCGATTTTCTTCATTCCAAATTTCAAGCAACACTAATAAATATTTTTGAAGATGAATGTGAATCACATTCTGGAACAAAACACTTTTTCGTAGTCATAATATTTATAAAATTAAACACTCAAATTCGAAATAAATTCATAACCGAGACACTATGACAGATGACACATACAGTGCTGCCGTTTTGCCATTTTCTGAATTATTAAGTGACTTTTAAAATAATGAAACTTTAAATATGGTAAAAGTTTAATCAGAAATAATTTTTTCAAAAACATTTGATATTATATATTTAAAAGATATTTGTTTAACGATGTTTTAAAAGTCTAAAAGTAAGAAGGAGTACACAAATGAACGTACATAACTTCTCGTAAACCTTCTAAATGGCAACGTTGTGGCGCTAGCTCCTATTGGTCTATTCCCGAAAAAATTAAAAAAATTCATAACTCTGGAAAATGAATAGATAAAAAAAATAAAAAAAATGTTTGAACATGCCCCATTGCTATTATTTACCCTAATTCCTTAATTTAAATAAATCACATTACAACATTTGCGCGTGGACTATAACAATGATTTCAGATAATTTGCCAAGCTATTTCGCTAAGTGTAGAAAATAAACAGGTTTTCTTAGTGTATTAAGTTGTGTATTGATAATATTCATGAGGTGAAAATGGTCCAGCCGATACCAAAGGCACCGACTGTTAGTGTCGCTTGTCCTAGATCGGTATTCTCGGGTAACACTACGGCACGGTCCAGGCTTGCTAAAATTTCAAAATATTTCGGGATACCTATAAACAAATGGTGATCCGAATTCAACTCGGAGGCCGTACCTTAATCCAAAATGTTTAAACTAAACCAATCACATAATAATATCTCTCTTTATGATTAAAATTATAAGTAATTCATTTGAAATTTGATGGAAATCATTACATAATTTTTCCATGCCGTTTTGTAGCTTGTGTTTCAAAAAATCAAATTACCGATTTTATAAAAACTCCAACAGAGGTATATGTCCAAAAATAAAAACAGCACTAAATAGTATTAAAAAATTTAAATGTTTTAGTTGATACTTTAACCAATTCCACAGAATTTTAGAGTACCGACCCAAAACATTTAAATTTCATAGCCAACTACAATCATGATTTTTTTCGATTGCTCCTTAAAAACATTCCATTTAACTTTTTCATTTATTTAGTGCAGACGTTTAATTATAATTATATATTTTTTTTTTCAGAAAAATGCACGTGATATTTTCAATTTTAGGAATTCTATTCCTATTCACATCTAGCAACTGTTTAGACTGTGATATTATACCTGAAGACATAGTTAAGCCCAAAAATCGAAACGATGTAGATAGATATATAATTTATATACAGGGTAATCCAAAATCGTATACGCCGTTACAAAAATACAATGGTAAGCCCAAAAACGAGGGCAATTCGACTCATGCAACGAAGACTATAGTAGCTCATTATTTCTAGTTTTGAAAAAATATAATCTAAGATAATATAGTGTTCGTAGTATTTTATGGCTAAATATGACATACTATATTTTATGGTAGTATTTTTGGTTGCCTACCTCTTCGTTTAGACATACAATTTTTTTCCAGGTCAAAGCTTTTGGTAAATATATGCGCTTGATAATTGTAACTCAAAAGATCTCAAAAATGAGTTACTATAGTCTTCGTTGCATGAATCGAATTAAACAAACAAAAAGTTCCAATTCGAGAAAATTTTTAATTCTATTTTCTTTTCCAGTATCGTTAAAACTGAATCCAAATAAAATGCCACAAAAGGCATTTAAACAATTTATCTTAACTCTTGAGTCTGTCGATGGTCAAACAGATATGCAAGCGTACCGTCCTACCGGCCAATTTGATTTCGAAAGGAATTCGCAAATTATGACGAGATTCAGTGACACCTGTGAAAATACTGTCGTTGAAAACAGTAAAATACCCAAGTGGGAAATTCAGGTAATTTTTTAGTATTCCGTGTCTGTTACAGGCGTTTTGATGTAAAGACAATTTGATGCATACATTTGACATTTGAAGCAGATAAACAGTTTGAAATTATTCCCAGAGCATATTTTAAAAGTTATTAGAATGTATGCTTTTTTAGTTTTTTTTTTTTTTTAATTTGAGAGTAAAAATTATTATTAAATGTTTTGTTTGCTCTAAAACATACAATTAGAGTAGTTTCAGTTCGTTTATAGGTAAGTAAATAAAAGGCATAGGTATAATTTTTCTGTTTAAGAAAATATTAGATTTTTTGTTATATTATGTTGGGAATGGGATGTTAATACACTGCGACCCTTCTGTCTCTAATGCACCAAGAAAATGTCAATGACCGTTCCAATTCTATCTTCTCAAGAAAGTGTAGGATTAGGAGTAGCTTCAAGTTAGGTAAATATCCCTCTTCTATTTGATATCCTTCTAGGTATAGTACCCTTGGATTCTGGAGTGCTACACATTCAGTTAGAATGTGGAAGGAGGTTTTGTCTTCCTTTTTACTGAATTTGCACTCACTATCCTCTACTGCTCTCAGTTTACTAAGGTGTCCTTTTAGTCGGCAATACTCGGTAAGGATTCTGTTAAAATACGTAGCCTGTTCTTGCTTAGGCAGATGCAGGTTTCCGATCTTTTCTGGTTATATTTACCCAGAAGTATCTTAGCCTGTCTCAGCCCCAAAAGATTGTTTTAATTTTCGGTACTTCTACTGCCCAATTCTTTTTTAATCTCTTCCAATATTATGTTACTGCTGATACCGCAGAAGGCCTCAGGTCCTACATAGGATGTTTGAGCCCCTTTCCTTGCAAGACTATCTGCAATCTCGTTACCCTGTACCCCGTTATGTCCCGGGACCCAAGTGATAGTAACTCTATTTGTTTCACCTAGCTCATTCAATTGTTCTAGGCACCTGCAGACCATTTTTGAGCTGGTTACGTAAAAGCTCAGTGCTTTGGTGGCTATTTGGGTATCGGACATGATGATAATGTCTTGTCTATGATAGTTTCTCTCGATGTTTAACTGGATACACTTCTCGATGGCGTGAATTTCCGCCTGAAAGATGCTTGAGTATTTTCCCAAGCTTTCGGGGTGCTTGGTTCTCGGCCCATACACTCCTATTCCAGTTTCTTTTATGGTTTTGGAACCGTCCGTATACCACTGAATAGCGTGTTTTTCGGTTGCAAGCGCGGTGGATTCTTGGCTCCATTCTTTCTTGCAGCGCAGCTCTGTGGTTTTGAAGTTTTTCACAAAATTGTACTTCTTTAGCAAGTAGACTTTCGTCTTTCGTCTGATTACTCTGTTTCTAATCATTGTATATCGTGTCCTTTTTGCCACATTCTTTATCATTAAATGTAGAGTGGTGACGTTTAAGACCATCTCCATTGCGGCCGTAGGGCAGGTTCTCATTGCACCGGTGATGCAAACACAGGCTAGTCTTTGTACTTTTGAGATATTAGCTCTCGTACTAGCTAAACTAGTTATGTTACTTCAGGCTATAGCCCCGTAAGTGATGATTGGTCTCACTATTGCACTATACATCCATCGCAGTATGTCTGGGTTACATCCCCATCGTTTACCCGCAATGTTTCTGCATACTATTAGGGCTTTTGCAGCCTTATTTGCTACTTTCTTCTCATGTGTGTTTCACAGAGGTTTATTGTCCAGGGTTAGGCCTAGATTTTGACTTCATTTTTCCATTCTATAACTATCCCGTCTAATTTAACGGTTTTGAGATTAAGTTTTCTTTCCTTTGAAAAGGCTACTAATTTTGTTTTTGTAGGGATTATACTCCCACTTCACGGCATCATCTTTTGGTATGTTCTAGTCCTCGGATTATATCGCACAGGATATTTCTAAACTTGCTCTAGCAAATATGACTATGTCGTCGGCATAACCTTGACAGAGTATGCCGGGGTCAGTTCGTTAACGGTTAGGCTCCACATTAGTGGAGATAGAACTCCTTTTTGTGGACATCCTCTGGTTGTGCAGATTTTCTTTGTTTAGGTTTTGTTTAGTAGCAGTAAAAAAATAGTATTTTGTTTCCAACCTTCGATATATGAAACCCATAATCATGAATTATGATTTACTAATAAAATTAGCCTATAGGGAATATGAGCACCCTTTAATTTCAAACCAACATGAACAATATAAATGGACCGTTAGAGGATCATGAAAAACAAAAGAAAATACTTCTTTATCCCACTCCTCCTAATTCCTTCTCCTCTTCCTCTGCCTCGCCTACATAGTAGGAGATAAAAAAAGTAGTAACACCATCTAAAACGATTTCAAACAGCTTAACCTTGCTTTCCCCTACCTCTCTTTTAATCCCATGGTAGGTCCATATAGAGAACATTTCACGACCCCCCCCCCCCCAAAAAAAAGCAAATTATCTTCACCTCCTTTAAATGTAGGTGCGGAGTGTAAGTGGGGAGTGAAACATTTTTTTGCTAATTTGAGTATTTTGAGATATTCGTTGTATAGATAATTGAAAAAATTAGAAAAATTCTAAGAGTAAACCGACTTCCTTCTCCTATCCACTTTTTTATACTTTTTCTGGTAATAATTATTAATAATAATTAGGTCCCAGCTGATGTTAGATATACCGGAGTAATGGGGGTTACCCTCACCCAAACCCCCTTTTTTAGGTACCTCAAAATAAAAATTGTGTTTCATATCATTATAAATGAGGATTTTTAAATTGTGTTATTTTACTTTACTAAATTTATTTTTTATTTAATTATAATTATACTGAACTATGTTGTATCGTAAGTAACAAAGAGTTTATGGTCGTAGATAAACAATGATCGAAAGTATAAGAATAAAATGTTAGAAAAATGCAAATATATATATTATGTTTTCCTTAAATTTTCAATAATGATTATGGTCGAATTTTCATCTCTGGGCATACACAAGTATATGGAAATCCCATAGGAAGCGAAGTTGTGTATGGGCTAAACATATTTAAATGACAACATTTATGTTACTAAATTGAATTAATGTTATTTTAATACTAGATAACATAGGTACCTCAACTGCATCTAAAGCATTTTCGCTCATGAAATTTTTGGTCTCCTAAATATACTAGATTGAAACCATTAATCTGAAGTTTGTTCCAGATTAACAACGTACTCATTAATAAACTATCAACATGTTTTTAAAATTTTTGGACTTTATATCGTTTAATATTCTCCAAAATAATATGTGCCAATATTTTCTAAAAACGACAATTTTTAAATTTACATATTATTTTTAGCATTAATTTTTTTCTTTGAATTTTTATAAATTAAATAACTTATTTTATAAGAAATGAAGCGAGAGGGTATTTAAAGTGTGTAAATATTAAGTTTTATTTAATAAAACTCCATAAAATAATTCGTCTGAGCGCTTTCGGCCTCTTATGCCATCATCAAAGACTCTATAAGAGAAAAACGGAGCTGTAACAATACAATAAACCCTATCATTACCAAAAAAAATAGAAAAAAAAAAAACTTTGTACACTTACTCGTCAAAAAAGACACATGAAAAAGTAAACTAAATTAATAAGGGACAGCAAATGAACAGTCCCAAGTCTCAACCATAGCTTGCAGCTTAGATAATTAAAAATTGAAAAACCACACCGAAATTCGGTAACTGACCCAGTGTAAAATGTAGAAGTAAATACTCTGGATCCTATGGAGAACAAGAAACTACTAGTCTTCCATATGAAGGCAGCAAGATTTTGCCAATTGCTTTCGTGAGGCGAAGGCAAGTTGGAATAGAAAAAATACGCACAGGGTTTTTTTTTTTAACCAGTGACCATCTTAAAAATGTGCCAAAACAGAATGAGTGACAATTGACATTTGACAATAAAGTTGTCAAGAAAAATGCCAACTTGAGAAATTAAAATGAATTTCGTGAAAAATTGTCAGAAGGTTGATATTGAAAATGATAAAAGTGGGTTGGTACCACTGAGCAAGCAAGATCAAGTTATGGCAATACTTTTAAATTATTAAACAATCAATGATTACAATGATTTAAATAAAATTATAGGTTAAAAACATATTTTTTTAAAAATTATTAAAAGTCGCAGTCCATCTAAAGGAGGAGGAAAAACCATTCTGGTCACGAAATCAGCAATCGCTGGAAAAGACAAGATCAATTCCGCTGCAAAGAAGATTCAAGGCGAAGCTGACTAGGTAACTTCAGACCAACCGTTGCCAATATTCTTAAAGAGAGGAGGCACTTTGCTATTGAGATGGATTTGAGTGTTAATACATGTGACATTTGGTTTATTAAACTCTCTGTGTATCTCAAGGTCTTCAAGAAGATTTAGTTTAAAGTTGCAATTAAAAATATTATGAAGAACAGTTACATTCTCAGAAGGAGTGAAGTTATGATTTTTGAATTTAATATGATGTCCAAAAGTAGACTTATCTGAATATGTTTACCAGCTCGTATGTTGAGCTCCTCTCAGTAGGATTAAAAGCAAGTTAGGACCTTTTCTTGACTTTGACTTTATTGATAACCACGTTAATAATGGAAGGGTTGTAGTTATTAAAAGCTATTCTTTATTTAAATTATGATTAGATAAAGGTATATTAAGAAGACGATGAACCTAACAATATATGGTTAATAACTTGTGTTGATAAGAGTGGAAGTTAATTAGATGGTCAGTTTGAGTAGGTTTCCGCTAGATATCAAATTCAAGTTTATTATCCCGACGACTGATAGAAAGGTCTAGGAAATTAAATGATTTATTGACTTCAAGCTCAACTGTGAATTTGATTTTAGCATGGATATTGTTATTGAAAAATAAAAAGTCATCAATCTCAGTAAAATTACAATTCATAATTGCAAAAATGTCATCAACATATCTGTACCAGTGTGACTTGGGACTGGTCAGTTGCTGTCCCTTATTAATTTAATTTACTTCTTTATGTGTCTTCTAAAGTTTTTTGACGAGTAAGTGTACAAAGTTTTTTATTCTA